AATCTTAACTAGAACAATTAAATAAATTCAGAAACGAAAAAGGGACTGCATAGAACACACTTTTAAAAAACCAATTAGTAATATTGCTTGACAGTCACTGAAACGTAATAGCATCGATGTTTTACTATGTAGGTCATACCATGAAGTATAACAGTAAATACATATAATAATATATATATATAGTATATAGTGCTAAGTATCTGCACCAACTGATCTCACAAAAGATGCGACTTACTTCGATTCGGAGAAAAAGCGCAACATGTTTTTACAGGACTTAAAGCACAATATTTCTTCTATGGAGAAGTAACGATTCCCTTCTTTAGGATACTTCAATTAAAATTCAAAGAATACTTTGATTAAAGAAGATTACTGTTTTGTTTATATGCCATTAAATTGTTGTCAAAAAAATTAAAAAACTTTCTCTTGAATACTTTCTTTATTAAAAAAATTATTCCATTTCTTTGAAATTTTCCACATAATGCAATTAATTTTTCACGTGAGAATTTTCAATGCCTCGTAGAAACTTATGCTTGCCCAATTAATATGAAATTAAAATACTCATAAATCATAAGCAATTAAAAATATTAAATATTGCTTCTGCACTTTTCTTCAGAATAATTTATTTCTGTTAAGATGCGCACTCAAGCGAACGCCAGAAGTCTATTAAGAAATGCATCGAATGCATCGAACGCATCGAAGGCTCCTGCTGCAGTCTTTGGCAACCGCAGATGCTACAGAAATTGGCCCATAGACTATTAAGCAGATTATCGCCTTCGATAGACTTTGTCAAATTTGTCTTAAGTGTTTATAAATAACATCAGCCACTTGTCAAAATTAGTGTGGCAAATTTCTGAAATCTACAACGCTGCATAAATTCCTGTCACTACGAGATACAAATGAAGACGCGAGCGATTCTTGCCAATGAAGAAATGCGCCCGCTCGTGCCTTGCGAATTCTTTCCGTTCTTCCACTGTCTTCCACATTTTTAGTCTTTTTATCTTGTAATAGTGAGAAATTCTAAATTTATTTAATTTTGATGTGGCAAAAATAGTTTTGATTTTAATTTTGTATTTAATTTTGATTTAATTTTTATTTTTTAAGTGTTTTTGCAGTGCTTCTGTCTCATTTATTCAATTAATTAATTTTTTTCTAATGAGGAGGATATTTTCAGTTTTATATTAAATTTATTTTGTCTGTCCATTTAGGGAAGCAAGTATAAATATTTCATAAAAAATACTATTTTACTTTTACTGACCCATTCCTATACTTTTTCGGTTTATCTTCTCGTTAGTGTCATTGAGTATTTATTGTTCTGATTTTATTATAATAGATTTAAATATGTGTTTTCTTTTATTAGAAATTAATAAATTGTCAAAATTACAAGCAAAACAAATATATTATATGTTGTATAAATACTATTATGTATACCTTCTATTGTGTAGATATTTAAAATACATCAACTAATTAAAATAAATTTGAAATACAACCGACTGAGTACGTAATATTATTTTTGTAAATGAGAAAACTCAGGATTTGTATGTAAATAGTTAATAAAGTAATACAAATTAATTATGATTAAGTTGAGAAGTTTTGTTTTAACCTAGAAATCTATTGTCCCTCTTCATTGAATTTGTCACTAATTTGTCACATCTCACTAAACACAATTTCTTCAATAAATTACAGTATATTATCAAACCAGCTTCAGAAAACCACCTGTTTATTCCATCTACAATATACAATCACGAATGAAAAATACTACCCTCAAGTTTCTTTAGTTTATAATCTCAGTTTTTCAATGTAATAATTCAATCCACACTGCTTAGTCAAAATTTGTGAAATTATTATTAACTTTTCTTTATTTAAATGTTCACATTCTTTAAGTTGATATAAGTTAAAAGCGCCCGCAAGTGATTTTGGTCGCAATATTCTTGGTAGATTGGCCTAGATAAATTTCTATAAACAAATTCTGATTAAATTCTATATAAATGAAAACAAATCATCTCTTCCTAAACCACTAAATTGTTACATCCTACAAGCAACGAGGCTGCTTATTTCCCAATAAATTTTGTCTGCCATTTCCTCACCGGAATTCCCAATGTAACATAAAACTCACAGACTTCATGCGTGATTATTTTTATGAAAGATATTCACGACATTTCATCGCCAACCTCGATGACCTGGTCATAAGTGATCAAAACTAATCTCTGATTCTGATAGTTGTACCTAGATAGTTGTCTAAGACGCCCATATCATCTTGTAGAGTAGTTGTGTTCTTGTCATTCGTCCGTTACCTATGCAGATATGTCATAGCTTAACTTGTCGGGTTCAATATATCATTCCAAACTTTTTATTAATAATTTTTTTAACATTTAAATTTAAATTTAGATAAACTAAATAAAGTAATTACTTTATTGTGAACCAATGATACATAAGCTATGAACAAAATCCTTATCGTGATTTACTGAAGTAATAATACAAAGACGATCTACTTACTTGAATTCACTTAATTTAATCTTTTAAATATATCATGAAGTGATGTTTGGCGATTTACAACAGCCAATGTCTTTATTTTTTCGTTGCCGGTTTTTGTTTAGAACGTGATGGACTTTTAGTATCAATATTAAAGCAAATTTAGCAAACCATTGCTCGAACCAGAGTTCTATCGGCTTATTTTTTTTACCATCGTAATCTTATTTAAAAAGCATATTTATCTTCTTGAAAATAAAATAGGTAAATGTTTATTTCAATTTTCCGTTTATGATGAAGCATCAAGCAATAAATATTGATCAAACTCAAAAAAATATTATCATTACCAAGCCTTATTATATGACTCATCATTCTACTAATCAGAGTGGTCAAATACCAATTTTGAAAAGATAAAAATTTTTCTGTTTATGACTCAAGTGAAAGAAATACTGAAGTATTTACGAATATTACAATACACAGTATTTCAATAACGGACACACTGCCAAGAACAGCCAATGTTTGAGCCTCTGAACCCGTTAAAATATATACATATTTTCGAATTTACAGTCAGAGAGAGTTTTTAAATAGACGAGAATGCAACGACAAATTAAGAATTCTGACGAGGCATGTGGACTTTGTCAAAGGAACAAGAGTACTAGAGTTTACCGAACGCCGATCGTGATGACAGAGATACCACAAGAACAATGTAAATCTTGATGAAATTTGGAAAAGAAGTATCACATTCTATACTGATTAGTATCAGTCTTATGATGATCACAATAACTGCATACGACTAGCAAACAAACTTCTACACAAATCTTATCGATCTCGAGCTTAAAACAGCAGTAGCATTAAAACAAAAATCATGAGATACCAGATGCAACGAGTACATGCCCTGTCTACGTCACAATCTCCATTGTCAAAAGAAAAGTTTAGAGAGTACTATGATTAAGACACCCAAAGAAGATTTCTTGAAACATTTGGGGAATTATCATTAAAGAAAAAATAAATTGTCTCTTATTTAGTACTTTGAGCCATTCTGAGTGACCGGGATTTGAGAATGACTTTTTAACAAATAGCTGATAAAAGTTCGGTCTTAACTTTGCAAACATATGTTAACAAAGCGGTGATAATTTAAGATTCTCATCCTATGTGTGAATACGCGTACAATATGAGTAAGTTGAACTGGTTGGCAACAAAGTTAGTAACCAGTTAGTTAAAGGTTCGTTTCCTTTACGACCTCGATCCCAAAAAAGACCAGCTGTTACAAATCGTATAATCTGGATGACCAATTCATATCACAAAAAAGTTAAATTATAGAATGTACAGAACGTTTGGTTTGTGATACTGTTCTAAAGAAATCATGTATTTTAAATTTTTATATCTCTATTTCCAGTTCCATTTTAAAAAAGTTGCTATTCTTGTGACTCGATTTGGAAATCGAGATTGGAATTGATAGTACATTTTAAACATTCGTCTTATTAAACGGAAAGTACTAGTTCAAATTAAATTCCACAGAATAAAGTGATTTTTGTGGATACAATGGTTTTTTAAAACTAATTGTGAACTATGACTATCTCGGATGAAACAATTGTGTTTGATGATGTATCACTCCATCAAGAAGTAAGTATCATCGCTAAAGAAATTTCGATGTAGAAAAATCATGTTCGTTGGCACTGTTCCAACACCTCGTCAGCATATGTTATGAGCATTGTAACATATGCTCATAACGACTCACTGTGTGAGTCAAAAAAAATTAATATGTCAGAAAAACTTGATCATAAGTTATATCTTTATTAGTACCTTCACCTCATTAGGTATAGGGACTCAAAATAGAAGTATAATATAAGCATATATGTGTGTAAAATTTAAAACTTAATTCCTAATTATAAATGCTTTACTCTCTATGGAAAGCTATTGATTCATAGGTAACAAAGTATATCAATAATCTGTAATCCCTACATTTTACAGACGATTATAAAATTTTGCGCTTGCATTAACTATAGTATTACTTATATAAATATATATTATAAATTTAATTATTTAAATGCATTGTGTCATCATTCACTAGAGATTACTGTGCCTTCAATGAATTACTGATCAAGCAACACATTCTACATTATAGCGAACCATCTATGGTGATTTTTTATTTAAATGAATTGTTACAACAAAACAATAGTTTTATGCACTATTCAATTTATTTATAATTTCAATAAAATAAAAAAATTCAAAACAAAAAAATAATCCTGTTCGCCCAAAATCCATTCTCTCATTCTTTGCCCTGCAAAGAAGACATATCAAAATTGTCAAAGAAACGTCAGTTCGGAGAATAATAGAACATCTCATATCCGACAACCGCTCCCACGGAAAGTAAGATTTCTATCTCACTTAACTCGTCAAGAAATCTGCTCAATTTTTTTCATTGTTTTTCAAAGACAAGTAGATGTTTTTCTTCTGGGAAATTTTGAGATACTTTCATTATTTTGATTTGCAAATGACAAATGAGACAACGAAAAAAACTGAGAAAACTAATTTATAAGACGTTGGGATCATCAAATTAGAATCACTTTAGTCGTTGTTTTGAAAGAAGTCACACGGAGCCAAGGGCCGTCAGTTGTATTGCGAAATTTTTCAGTGTCTCGTGTATGTAATTTTAATTGAAAGTTTTTTTTTTATAATAATTAAAAAAAATTAGTTGATAAAATTAAAAATTAAAAACTGCATCAGAGATTTAAAGAAGTAGATAAAGAATATAAATATTCCTTATATATATATATAAAAATTGAATATTTAATAAAAAAAAAAAAGCACAAAAAAATTATAAAATGGAGACTACCTAAATATATATATATGAATATTAATTTAAAAAAAAAAAACATTTTATATATTTTATATATATTAATATTTTATATATAAATAATATATAAAAAAATATTTTATATATAATTTTTTTTTTAAAAAAATTTTAAGCATTCTATTAAAACTAAATTAATATTAAAACTAATATAATGAAAAAATTAATATAAATATAAAATATTATATTTTATATATAATTAATATAAAATATTATTATAAACAATATTAAAAGTTATTAACCGCTTAACTTTTGAAAACCAATAATAATAATTTATTTAATTTAATATATTTCTAAAGTCATTAAAATAAAACTCAGCCAAAATGTGTGATGAAGAAGCATCAGCTTTAGTCGTTGATAATGGATCTGGTATGTGCAAAGCTGGCTTTGCTGGTGATGATGCACCACGTGCTGTCTTTCCCTCAATTGTTGGTCGCCCACGTCATCAAGGTGTAATGGTTGGTATGGGTCAAAAAGATTCATATGTTGGCGATGAAGCACAAAGCAAACGTGGTATTCTCACTTTGAAATATCCAATTGAGCACGGCATTATCACCAATTGGGATGATATGGAAAAAGTATGGCATCATACATTCTATAATGAATTGCGTGTTGCACCTGAAGAACACCCAGTACTTCTGACTGAAGCTCCATTGAATCCTAAAGCCAATCGCGAGAAAATGACACAAATTATGTTTGAAACCTTCAACTCACCTGCCATGTATGTTGCCATTCAAGCTGTACTCTCTTTGTACGCTTCTGGCCGTACGACTGGTATTGTCTTAGACTCTGGTGATGGTGTTTCACATACCGTACCCATCTATGAAGGTTATGCTTTGCCACATGCTATACTCCGTTTGGATTTAGCTGGTCGTGATTTGACTGATTACTTGATGAAGATCTTGACTGAAAGAGGTTATTCCTTCACCACAACCGCTGAACGTGAAATTGTACGCGACATTAAGGAAAAATTATGCTATGTTGCGCTTGACTTTGAGCAAGAAATGGCTACTGCTGCTGCCTCTACATCTTTAGAGAAATCGTATGAATTGCCTGATGGTCAAGTTATTACCATTGGCAATGAACGTTTCCGTACACCAGAAGCACTTTTCCAACCTTCATTCTTGGGCATGGAATCATGCGGTATACACGAGACTGTCTACCAATCAATCATGAAGTGCGATGTTGATATCAGAAAGGACTTGTATGCTAACAATGTATTGTCCGGTGGCACCACAATGTATCCCGGTAAGCTTGTTAAATACTACTCTCTCAGTTTATAGAGTAACTGACAATTTTTTAATACTCTTTAAGGTATTGCTGATCGGATGCAAAAGGAAATTACTGCCCTTGCACCATCAACTATTAAAATCAAAATCATTGCTCCACCAGAAAGAAAATACTCAGTCTGGATCGGTGGTTCTATTTTGGCTTCACTTTCCACCTTCCAACAGATGTGGATCTCCAAACAAGAATATGACGAATCAGGCCCTGGTATTGTGCACCGCAAATGCTTCTAAGTGCATACACCAACTGAAAATTCGTTACTGCTTGGTCAACTCCTCTCTCTTCTTCTCTAATAATGCTAATAAAAATGACAAAGCATTGCGAGTAACATTTCTCTCCATTAAATGTTAAAATTATTTCGTAAGGAACATTAAAGTCACCCACTCAAAGACGCTATGGAAAATGTTTTTTATTTCAATTTTATTTTTTTAATTTTTTATTTTTGAAAAATTTATTAAATTTTGATTTGTTAACCACAAGTTTTATTTACCACACCCAAGTTTTCCTCGCCTTAGTTTCATTTCGTTGATTATTTGATTTAGTATTTCATTATCCTTGACGTTCGTTAACAGTAACGCCTTCATGAAAGGCTTAAACGTTGAAGTTTTTTGATTCGGAATTTACGGTCGAGTTTCGCAATTACTATTTTTAAGTGTAGCTCTTATTTTTATCGACGAAATGGGCAATAAATGCAGTCAAACTTTGTACTTGACGACTTGTTTTTATGTGGGTCCAAATATACGCGTATTTGCCCAAAAACGACGAATAAATGCCTTACTTCCATCTATCAGAAGCTATTGATGGCTTCATAAATGTTGGCGATGTTTCACTTTTACTATTATGTTTTCGTTAGCATTTTAATAGGTTTTAAATATTTAATGCTCGGAACGTTTATTACGCGTTTTTGGGTTAGAGAATTTTCGAATATTTCTCACTGAACCAATTTTATACTATAAATACATTGTGTATATTTTATGGATGGAATAGCACTTATCAAATATAACAAAAATGTATTTTCTTACTTAGTACTCTAATAAAATAATAATGTTACTCATTTCAAAATATATATCAAAACTTTAATCAAATTTGGTTGATAAATATAGACGATTTTATTGACTAATACTTTTGCTTCCTCTTAAATTACGATAAATCTATTGGAGAGCACTTTTTCTATCGACTGAATTACCACAAGTCTTTTAAAACAAATATCAAAGATAAATCAAACTCTCTCATTGAGATGCCCTATGGAGATACCAGTCTAGTAGCAGGTTTACTTACAGGCCACTGTATCAGGTAACCATGCTGAGACAAAATCTCCATTTAAACCATATCTGCCGCAGTTGTGGAGAGGACAATGAAAGTGTTTCCTGTTTTGATTTTGTTCAGAACATGTGCGGCACCGCTATATCACTTTATGACCTTTCTTATTTTAAAGATCTTTAAAAATCAAATATTCTAAGTAGTTCTAACCCCTGAATTTTAAATTATACGGTAACACAATGGGTCTATAAGACTAAGTGGATCCAATTATAAGCTTTGCTAAAAGTTCTAAGTGGTTTCAATCCTTGAATTTTAAATTATATGGCAACACAAGGGGTCTATAGGCCTAAGTGGATCACTTAGTATCAGCGGATTATCGATATATCTATGTAAGGTATTAATAATTAGAAATATAAAGTACTTAATTATTTTAAAAATTAAGAGAGTTGAAAACATCAATACAGCATTAAAGTATATTTTGTTTTACTCTAAAAAATGAATTTAAAGCATTTAAAAAGAACAGTTAAATATGGTAGATCTTGCAAAGTTCAGTTGTATTTATGTCATTTTTTTAATTACTTAGTAATCATATTAAGAAGTATCCATTTTAATACATTGTTGTTTCCTTTCGGAAAATAATGACAATCGCACCAAACCCGTTTCAACCGCCGCTCACTTATTAAAGCTTGTGAGCAATAGTAGTTTTAATGGTTAAGTTTGAAGATAGGATATCCATATATAACTTGTGATACCATGCATTACCTACAATAAAGAACAATTTCTTGTTCTTAATTTGAAACCTTTATTACTGTTTCATTTATCTAAAGCACCTGTAGCGATGCCTCATACTCGCTATTGATTGATAAAAATCCGAAAAATAATCGGTTGAACAATAGTAAAAGAAACATATTTTTTGTGTACGTGCTTTATATTATATTAAAATATTATATATTAAAAATATTCTAGACAAGACATCCATTATCTTCGCTACTTTTTCAACGAGATATCTGAAAATGGCACAATATTGTTTCTAACTAGAAAAAAATAAAAAATATCTACTCTCATTTTTTCTGTGATCTCTGAACCATTTTAATCTGTAAAAAAAACCCAGCTTAAAGTTGGTATAGTAATTTCAAAGGACAAGTCTTATTAGTAGGTTAGGGATTCTAGACAAGACATCCTTTATCTTCGCTACTTTTTCAACGAGATATCTGAAAATGGCACAATATTGTTTCTAACTAGAAAAAAATTAAAAATATCTACTCTCATTTTTTCTGTGATCTCTGAACCATTTTAATCTGTAAAAAGACCCAGCTTACAGTTAGCTTAGAATAATACTTTTTACTTTAAATGCACCTCAAAATATATATTTTTTGTAGCAAATGTATTAATATATGTAGTAACGTTAAAAAAAGGTTAACATTATTTGCAGACTCAATTATATCCAAAGGAAGATCAAAATTATTATTTGAAGTTAACAAGAGCGTTGTGCCAAGAGAGGCTATTCAATAAAGTATTTTTTTGGTAGTGTTTTTACACAATATTAAACATAATGTATATATTTTCAAGGAAGTGCCGGTGTGTGGTGTATTTTTTCCCTACGAAGTCTCGTCAAAACACATAGACCAATATATAATTTAAACTGAACTATAAGTGATTGATCTGCAACAATGAAATTTATCCAAGCTGCATAGCTCAAATTAGCAGTAAAGGTCCCATCTATATATAATTTTTATTTTGAAAACAAGAGGGAATTTTGACATAAATTGACTTTATCAATTACGATTGGAATAAAAATTTTGTTATGAATTTATCTTACAAAATAAAAAATTCATTATCTCGGTAAAAATTTAAAATTTTCTTTTTTTTTGGAAGATTTTGGTTTTGGTTTTGGACAATTTGCATTTTAAACTAAATTTCAAAAAGTCATATTTTTGGCACTAAGTTTTTTGAAATTTAGAAATAATTGTTTTATGAATAGGTTTAACAAATAATATTGCTCATATTTAACTACGATTATTATCCATTAATTTAAAAAAAATAAATAAGTAGAAACGTTAGAGTGGCGACCTTGTATCCAAGACACCCTATTTTAGCTGAAATAATGGCCCATTGTGGTACTATAGGAATAGCGTTGATTCGAAAATAGACTAAAAGTTCAGTATACGACCAATACTAAAAAGGCAACGACGCCCCGATTAAATAAAAGTAAATCAACCTCACACTTCTATGAATTTGATTAAGTGCCTAATATTGCAGGATGACAGCTCGGTTAGGTTAGTAAGAAAAGGAGCCCCTAAGATTTATAATCTTCTTCCAATTAAAGAAGAACACTGACACATGAGATAGAGCACAGTCTCCTCCTCACCATCACAGTCATAGCCGCCAGAAAAGTTGTTGTAAGGCAGACCCAATCTCATAGCATGCCTTCCTATTATGCGGTAACCGATCAACACAGACACCGTAGTGCTGAGCAGGTTTCACCTTAGTTGCAGTAGCTGACTTGTGCGTTTTTTGTCTAAATAAGACCAAGTCAACCTAGATATCGGACAGCGAAAAAAGTGAATACTTAACTAAATAACTGTTAAAATCATGTCCTAACTATAAGTTAACACTCGCGGCTTCTCAAATCCGGTCCCTGCACTTAGATTCCTTAACGGTATTATCATCTGATTGCTATCAAATGGGACATCGACTTGTTTGTCTCGAAAAGTCTCGTTTGTTAGCGAGCTGGCGATCGATTAATATCGTATGATTCTGCCGTTAATGAAAACAAACGCAGGGATCGGATTCCTTTCACGGAGATCCTTAACGGTATTATTCGATCACCTGATTGCTACTTAATAAGACATGAACTTGTTTATCTCGAAAAGTCTCGTTTGTTAGCGAGCAGGCGATCGATTAATATCGCATGATTCTGCCATTAGGGAATCTAAGTGCAGGTGCCGGATTGCGTGGGTCTCAACTCGGCTCGTACAATTTCTTTTGGGCTATTACAGTAATCACATCTATGAAAATTGTTTTATTAAAATAATCATTAACTTATATTTAAAATTCAAAAATATTGTGGGAAACATATAGTATAGCATAGCACATTGCCTATATTCTTCGACAAGCAATTCTGTTAAAAAATTTTTGGGTTTTGGTTATTTTCATAAAATTTGCTTTATCTTTAACTGAATACATTCTTGGAATTTACTACCTTTTACATACCATTAAAAACTTTACATTATACAATGCACAACACCCGAAGGACATAAACATAAACGAAAGAAGCTGACTCAAGCCAAAAATTGAAGCTGGGCCGGAAGAGCAGTACATAGTTTCAAAGTGAGTTTAGTAGAAAAAAGACAAAGACAAAGACGCAGAAAAAGAGGAAGAAATCATAAATAAATAAACAATAAAAAATTGCAGTAGAGGGAAGAAAAAAATTGTTGTTTGCAACATAAAATAACAAATACGAGTACATCAGCAGAAAATATAGAAGCAAATTTGAAAACGGTTTTTTTACGCTAATTGTTTTTCCAGAGTTTATAGTAAACTTTTTTATTTTATTGAACCATTAAAACGCATTTTTACAGCCACGACCAAACTGCCAAACATACCAGCGAATGCAGGTTGATGGTCCATTAAAGACAAAGATTTGAAAAATTACAAAACAGCCAGGATACAACAGATACTCGCACTACCCCCCAACTGGGTAGTGCGGGTAGCAACGGGTGGTGAGGGAGCGTTGTAAAGCTAAACAGTAGCAAACATTAAAAGACCATATATACTACCGCTGCCAAAATGCCATGAAAACTAGAAATAAGACGTTAGCGGTGAAAGGGGCCCAAAAAAGTGCACAACAAAGTTATAAAATTGTTTCTTCAAAAACAAAACATAAACGAAATATAAAACTAATAAAATAACAACAACAGCATGAAGATGAAGAAAAAGTAGTAGTAGTACCAATGGGAACGCACACTATGGCAAATGAATGGAGTCAAAAATTTAAAGCCTTAACTGCTGCCACCAAGCGCTCATGAAATCATATGCAGAACCAAACTGTACTGAACCGA